TGGTTCTGGGGTAGTAATTAGAGTATTAAAATTTGTTTATACTACAGGGGTAGCAGGTCGAGATTCAGGTGGTAGGTTGTTAGATTCGGGTTCCTCAAGTGGAGTATCCGAGAAAGAGCAGGCTGGTCTGGTTCTTCTTCAGATACATCTTCTGGATTAAATATAGGAGGAGGTACTGTGGCACAGTTAGTACAGATTTCATCATTCTGGTCAAGTTCAATTTGATGCTTGATATGCAGGCACTCTTTACAAAGGTCAACAGGGTTGGTGAAGCTTCGACGCAGGTTAGCAAAAGCTAACTCTTTTAGTGCCACACGATATGAAGTATCAGGGTGGCTTTTTGTCTCGAATCGACAGGGATGATCAGGTAGGTAGTACAAGTGACTTGTATGTGACACAATTCATGTATTAAGCATGTGTTTTCTCACGTGATAGTCACAACAAGGTTCGGAGTTTGAAGTGTTGAGTAGGTATATATAGACAGACAGAGGGGTATAGAAATGGTATCGTTTGTTTTTTTCTGCTAACCCGATCTCTATAGTCTGGTTCTTTCGAGCAAAACAAAATATCATAAAAGTTTTTATGCGTGATATAGCAAGTTTTACTTACGGTTCCCTGAGTGCAAAACTTTAAGTTCAGTTGAATAAAAATAAAAGCTTTTAGTTCAACGAACAAGATGCAAGCTGACTTCGAGGCAGTACCATGTTTGGAAGTAATCCAATTACAAAGTGAGCAGATAAATTTTAGAGCAAATTTTAAACGAATGTCTTTGGATATGCTGAGGTATTTTTGCCGTGAGTGAGGACTACCTGATACTGGGCTCAAACAGGAGTTAATTATGCGTTTAGCAAATGAGGGAAGAAGACGTGCCAGTGTACCTGAAACAGGTGTCCAACAAACTGACAAAGGAAAGAGTAAGGAAGTTGTAGAAGTTGGGGAGTCAGTTTTGTTAGATGAGCAAGGGTTTGAGGAGGAAGAGACACTGAGACCATCGTTAAGAGAACCCGGTAACATATTTCAGACATCTTCAGTGAGTGGAATAAACCAGCCAATAAGGAGAAACTCAGAACAGGCAGTTCAGATGGGAGGTCCTGAATTAAGTGAATACCCAGTACAGAGTTTAGCAGGAGGGTTAACTACAAGTATGAGTTTTGAATTAGAGGATAGTAGAAATATGTGGCACAAGAGAGAGTTAAGTAAACGACGAAATCAATGGGAGTATAATGAACTGTGTAGAGTTGGGGCCTTTTTAGATAAAGCTTTAATTTCAGGTGATTGGGAATATATATGTTTGGCTAGGCAAGCAGTGATGGAAAGAGCATATGTAGTGAGAGTAGCAGATGAAGATGGATGGCAGGTAGCATCAAAGATGGAATCAACTGATAGTTCAGATCCTATAACGGAAATATTTGGTATAAAAAGAGAGAGAGCAAGAGCTGCGGTTCAACATTTTCCTAAGTTTAAGAAACAGAAAGTATCTCAAGAAACAAAGCAGACTCATTGTCAGATGTATGAACAGGATACTCAATCATTTCAGAAAGCTTTCCCAACTGTCATCTTACCGTTTACAGGTTTTCAACAAAGTCAAGCAATGCAGCCAACATTGTTTACACCTCCTCAACCAATATTTAGTAGTTACATTGGACAGCAACAGCAACAGTTACCACCGTCATATGCTTTTCAACCATCGCAGCAATTTCCTAAGTATACTTCACAGTGGGCAGAAAGAGGATCTGGAAGAGAAAATAGAGTTAATAGAGCGGGAGATATGGTATGTTTTCTATGTGAAGGCCGAGGACATTTTGCAAATGAATGCCCTTCTAAGCGACATCTGGGGCAGCCCTTTCGAAGAGAGGATTACAGAGCAAAGCGAAGCTGACTACACCTGGGGGAGCACAAGTCTAACAAATCAGAGGGAGAAGATAGGAGAAGAGGGAAAGAAGGAAATTGTAGTAATGGGGAATATTCATGGAGCATTAGTAAGGGAGTATTGGGAGAAGATAATAAAACCAGCAACTGTTATTCTCGAATGGTTAAGAGGGGGAATTCCTTTATATCCAAGAAATATGATAAGGTTAATAAGTCAACCAGATCCGAAACAGTATGGTTTTTCAAAGGAGGAACAAATTTGGTTAGATCAGGAGTTAGACAGGTTACAGAAATCGGAAGCAATAAGTCTAGTGGGTATAGGAGAAATTCGGCCGAAATATCTTTTAAAAGTGAGCCCAGTGTTCTTAGTACCCAAGAAAGGGGCCTCAAAATACAGACTTGTAATCGACTTGAGAAGGCTAAACCAGACCTTGCCAGAAAAGTCATTTCGGTTCGAGGGTTTAGGAGGTTTCCTGAAATCTATTGGACGAAATTGGTGGGCAATTACCTTCGATCTGAAGGAAGGGTACCATCATATTTTAATGGAGTCAGATGCAAGACGTCTTTTGGGTTTCAGAGTAGACAAAAGATGGTTTTGTTACAATGTTCTCCCATTTGGTCTAAGTCAGACTCCATGGGTGTTCTCAAAAATCATGAGGGCAATGATAGGCAAATGTCGATCACAGGAAATCAACTGTGGGAATCACTTGGACGATGTGTGAGTGGCGCATCAGTCGAAAGAAATTTTAATACAGATTCGGGAAGAGATAATCAAAAAAGACTTAGCTGGCTGTGGCTGGGTCCGTACAGAGGACAAGGGCAATTGGGCTCCAACTCAAAAAGTAAAATTTTGCGGATTAATTGTAGATACAGTAGAGGGTCAGGTTGTGGCTCCAAAGGACAAGATAGTTGCAACTGTAGAGAATCTCAAAAAGTTGCTGATTACTCCAGTTATAAGTGCTCGTCATTTAGCATCAGTTACAGGGAAAATAATTAGCCTTGCAAGAGCATTTGCTCTGAGTCAAGTAAAGTGTTTAGAGTTTTACCAGATTATCGATGCCAAAAATCGAGATTATGGAAGCTGGAATCAGCAAATACAGCTATCAACACAGGCGAAAATAGATGCAAAGTGGCTAATAAAAAATTTAAAACTGTGGAATGGACGCCCAGCCTGGAAGCCCTCTCAAGTCAAAGCCGTGTATATAGATGCTTCAACTCTGGGCTGGTGTGGAATATACAAGAGTTACAAAGCAGCGGGAAATTGGCCTCAGCAGTTTTCATCAAATCAAATTGCCAAGCTAGAAGCTTTAGCAGTACTAAGGTCCCTTCAGTCTCTAGGAGATCTACTATCAGGATCTTGGGTAACTCTGTTTATCGACAACAGAGTTGCTTTAAGAACAGTTATAGAGGGCGGACCTACAGAGTGGCAAAAAGATATTGCAAGGGCTATTTGGGAAGTTTGTTTAGAAAAGGATATTGGCATATTCAGTACCCGGTAGATTTTAAGCAAATGCAATCCAGCAGATTTTTTGACAAGAGTAAGAGATTATAGGGATTGGACCTTAACTTGCGATATTGTAACAATGCTACAAAATGTATGGGGACTATTCGAGGTCGACAGATTTGCTGACCATTTAAATACCAAAGCAACTTGATTCAACAGTCTTCACTTCTGCCTAGGGACAATAGCAGTAGACTGTTACACACAGGACTGGAGAGGAGTTTTAAACTATCTCTGCCCTCCCTTTGGGCAAATTCATCATGCTTTAGTTCATGCAAAGCAATGCAAAGCAAAAATTGCTATTATAGTTCCAGTGTGGGTATCGGCCCCTTGGTGGCCAATAATAATAGGAGTAAAACGGCAAGAAATAGAACTCCCACCATCAGAACAGATATTTCTTCCTGGACCATCAGGAAATATAGAACCATGCAAGAATCCAGAATGGAGAATGAGAGCAGTTCTAATAGACTGGTCCGAGACTTAGAAAATTATGCAAAAACACTAGCTTTAAAGTCAATTAGTAAACCTTATAAACATCGATTAGAGAAGTCATGGATAACTTTTAAGAATTTTGCTGAATCTGTAAAGCAGAAGTATTGTCCAGTGTCTGTACAGCTAGTAATGGCATTTATAGCATGGATGGAATTGTCTAATCGTTCATCTGAACTGGCAGATTGCTTAAGGGCAATATCAAAAGTTCATGTATTGAAAAATTTGTTAAGTCCGATAGAAAATAAGGCAGTTAAATGTACAGTTGAAGGTATCAAGAAAATTGCTTCACAGGACATAGAGGCACAATGGCCTTGTGACCCACTACAATAAGTGCAATCAAGAACTTTGTTGACTTGCCTCCAGAAGGAATAAGTTATGAATTATGGGCCCGGGATGCTGCCTTGCTGGCAGTAGGATTTAGGTTAATGCGGCGCCCAATTGAACTTTGTAATTTAAAAGTGAATGATGTTATTCTAAAGGATAGTTTATTATGGATAAGAATTAGTAAGTCCAAAAACGGACCAACTGGCTAAAGGGAAGTTTGTGCCACTAGAAATAATAGCAGGAAAGTATTGTCCAGTGAGGCTGTTTGAAGTGTACTTTGCAGTTAGACCAAAAACACCTCCAGAAGCACCCCTGTTTCTGTCAAAATCAAAAAGCAGAATGACAGTGGCAGCTATATCATCAGTAGTAAAGCGAGTGGCAGACCATGCAAGATTAACTGGTAGATTTACTGCCCATAGTCTGAGAATTGGAGGGGCTACTGCTGCAATGAGGGGTGGTATGACTTTAGAACAAATTCAATCTATTGGTGGCTGGGTCTCAAGTGCTGTTCGGTTATATTTAAGATCAGTAGGTGTAGCAGATATGGGTGCTTCAAATGTAATGGGTTTTAATGAATGAAAAAAAAAAAAAAAAAAAAAAGGTAGAAAGAAAAGAATATCAAATGCCAATAAATTAAACCGATACTCTTGATTACCCGTCGAATATATTTCATGCTTTATTATGATCACTCCTAGATGAGAGACAAATAGTGCCACACGATACGAAGTATCGGGGTGGCTTTTTGTCTCAAATCGACAGGGATGATCAGTTAGGTAGTACAAGTGGCTTGTATGTGACACAATTCATGTGTTTTCCCACGTGATAGTCACAACAAGGTTCGGAGTTTGAAGTGTTGAGTAGGTATATATAGACAGACAGAGGGGTATAGGAATAGTATCGTTTGTTTTTTCTGCTAACCCGACCTCTATAGTCTGACCCACCACCCAAACCCGGACCAGTATTTTAGTTGCAATTGGTAAGGGCACAAATATTGAGTATTTAGTCCAATTTAGGCATTGGTGTTTAGCCTCGCACAGAATAACCTGCGGGAGGGAAATCATGCCTTGGGCTTATATTCACAGCTGAACTAGTTAGTATCTTGAGAATTTTAGCATTGCCGGCAGTAACTTGGTGGTTTGCCTCGCAGTAAAGATTTGCGGGATGGTAATCAGGTTCAGGTTTAAATAAAGGTTAAGAGATAAGGAATAAGAGATATGAAGCTAACAAAAAAAAAAAAAAAAAAAAAAAAAAAAAAAAGAGAAAAGATTTTTTAACGATTCTCATTAGGTCTGCACTATATTAGTGCAAATAGTTTTGCTCACAAGCAGAAAGGCAAATAACCCGTCGAATATATTTCATGCTTTATTATGATCACTCCTAGATGAGAGACAAAAAAGGATTGTGTAAAATTTGTATGTATAATATTTTAATAATATTCGTGTTGAATAGACAGAATGGCATTTTTTTTACAATCCTTTTTATAATGCAAGTTAATAATAAGATAGCTGCGCAGCACGCGGTGCCGCGCAGGACCAGTACGATCGGCGTCAATAAAGTTTATGCATATGCATGT